CCCCCCCCCCTCCCCCTTCCTCCTCTCCTGTGCCAATGAGCATGCCCGTCACATGATCAGATCGCCAATGCGGGTCCTCTCCATCATCGTCGCAGTGGGGACGACGTGCTGACATGCATGAGAGACTTGTGTTGTGCTGCATGGCTTGCATGGTTGGGCTTCAAGATATGCATACTCTAGACAGGGATGCGCCCTGGACCGGTGTGCAGAAGACGTCCCAGCACAGTGGTTCGGCACTTCTGAAAATGGCCAAAGTAAAATGGCTGCCAGAGCCAAGGGGGTGTGGTGGCGGCGGTAGTCGTCGTGGTGGCGGTGGTGTGTGTGGTTCACACGGAAGCGCCGTGCGTAGTTTGGGGCGGACGGACGGACATTTGGCGGGTGCTGAGGTTGCAGCGCTTGGTGTGTGTGTACGGGCATGCATGGTCGTTGGACAGCAAAGTCTGCCTAGCTGGGCCCCCGCCCCATATACCTGCGTCCATGGTAAGCAATGAGCCTAGACGCCCCGCGAGCATCGTGATATTGCCATTGTTTTTCTCTTCCTTCTCATCTTTACATCATGGTTGGATACGTGGCATGCGGCTATCCATCATGGAGCATGCTCGGCGTGCCCGTGTGACCGACTTGCTGACCTTCCCTGTAGCCGTAGTAAATTCAATCTTGTTGCTGCACACTGCATCAACCGGCTTGCTTGGATATGCCCGAGGCCTTTTCCTCTGTTGAAAAAAAAAGTAGTCGTCGTCGTCGTCGACAGGCCTGCAGTGCTCCTCATGGCCCCAAAATACCCTCTCTTCCTCCCTGGGCCAAGCGCTTATGCATGTAATGGAGAAAAAAAAAATTAAAAGAGAGGGGAAAAAGGGAAGGATGCGGGTATCTGGCCCGCAGTGTCTAACATGATTTGAGATATTTTAGGGGTTCCAAATCTACTAGGTTGGCTGCATGCAGCAAGCAGGTCGGGTGTCGGGAAGTTCCCTTCATTTTTCTGCACCTCACATGCGCGGGCTCCATCGTAGTTAAAGAACCGATGCCTTGCGACATTTCTCATGTATATATGTCTCCAGATGAAAGCGCATATTGGCCACCCCCATGCCATGCATTGACAAGGTCGTTGAGTCAAGTGCAGATCTCATCACCGTGTTCTGGGCCTTGAATCAACGTCGTAAGAAAAACGCCCTTTTTGCGTGCCGCCAAAGCAAACATGGCCTACTTGGACACAAAAGCGTCTTGCTGCGCGTGACGGTGCCATGTCTGTGGGCAGCATGCTTGGTGCTCGTTTTTTGCTCCTGGCGGCTGTCACGCGCTGCACCGGTGGAGAGTGAGAGAGCCTCCATGGCAGTCGTCGAGGCAATCTAGCCTTCGTACAGCAGTACACGTGTCGAAGGTGGGCTGCTCGTTTGGAGACGACATGTGTGCCGCGGGGAAGGATGACGAGCTAGAAGCCGCCCATGTCAGTGTACATGGGGAGCGACGCATCCCTTGCGAGTCATTGCCACAAGGCACAAGAAAAGAAAAAAAAAGAGTCACGGGCTGCACAGGCAGCAAAATGAGGCAAGTCGTCCGCAACACACCCTGCTTGCCCCTCCATCGTCGTGATCGCGAATCTGCCCACTCATCGACACGACTGGTCGTGTCGCCATGCTGAGGCGAAAAAGCACATCGGCACTTGGCCGAGGGCCATGGCAGGGCATGAAACTGCGCTGCAAACCGAGCAGGCTCATCCCGTATGTCTCGCTGATCGGCCCGACGTCAGCTTTCGAATTCGGGCAATTCAAGCGGGTAAAAACACCAGGATGAAGGATGGAGCGACTGGACGTAAGCCGGGACCGCTGCGACACATGCCGTCTTACAGCCTTGTGAACCCATTGCAGAGGTAAACGGTGAAAAGGACCGCTGATCCTGCTCCCGAGTCCCACTTGATTGGGTGAGTGTCTGGACCCAGTTGCAGCGTGTCATCAACCTAGCCCCTCTCCCCAGTGCATCATTTTCATGTATGTATGTACCATATATGTAGCGGCTCTTACTCCTATCCTGATATCATGCAGAATCGCAGAATAAGCAGTCGACGCGCACGCGCCTCTGGGTGTGTATGTATGCTGGGGCTGCATGCTGGGCCGGATTCATCTGCTCTGCCAATCCATCGCTGTGGGTAAGAAGGAAGGAGAACAGGTCCAAGTTGGAGGTCGATGAAGGGGAGGAAGAGGAATAAGAAGTCGACAAGAGAAAAGAAAGAAAAGAAAGAAAGAAAGAAAAAAAAAACTCAATGCCCCCACATAAGAATGGCGAGTCAACATTCACACCGACACTGGTTTACATATAGCGTTTGCGGAAGGTGGGATGACAGCGAAAAGTGATGTGTTTGGAGAGATGGCGGTGAAGCGGTTACGTGCACTGCTCGGGGACCCGGTTAGTCTAGTGCTTAGGGCCGATGACGACGAGGGTTCGATCAACGTAGGCATGTCATGCATGGGCGCAGCCGTGCGATGACTAGGCTCCATGCAAAGGTCCAGAGCGCAAGCAGGGTCGGGGAGGTGCACGGCCATGGCATGCAATATTTGATCCAATTCGGTAGTTGGGGTATAAGTAGGGCCAGGAAGAGGGTCCATGGACATGGTTGCGACAGATGCATGTCTAGATGGGGATATGCTTTGTAGTGTCGAGGCTTGTGGTAGGGCCAGCGCTGCATCAAGACCAAGGCGATACATTGACAGTATTGACCGCCTCATAAGCGCAGCCCGCGTGCAGTCATCTGTACGATGTGAGAAGGAGGGCAGACACGGCACAGGGCACTGCAATCGCCATGTGCTGGATACGAATGCGAATCATGGCCCTAGAGTTGACACTTGGCCTGGGGTTCCTGGGACGGCTAAGTTGACATTGTTATTCGGACCGTTTTCCAGCAGAGTTGGAGCTACGCGCGCACTACGCTGTTGTAGAGTGGTCAACTGTGCAAGTTCCACACCACCTTGGAGGTTTGGAGCGATTGCTAGCAGGGATGCACCACCAGTAGCTACCACGACGGAGATTTGTTGGAACCTGGTACTGGTAGCAACCGGTGCCCGTCTGACAAGGCAGGACAAGGCAGGACAAGAGCAGACCAGACGATACCAGTCAAGTCAAGGCCATGATGGTCGAGTGCGCGTGCACACACACACACCCACCCTACCACGACGAGTGTCGAGTTAAAGTTCCGGTCTGAGCGATGGAATGAGCCGAGCAACCGCCCTCGTCGCAGCGTCCGATTGAGCGCGGCCGGAGCAGACTCCGGCGGGCAGGCAGCGCAGCGAGTGTGATTTTTTTTTTAAAGTTTGGCCATGGGCCGCTCTTGGCTGGTTTCCAAGCGCATGGTCATGTGGCTTCTGACCGCTCTGGTGGATCGTACGAGGAGAGCGTGGTGGAGA